GATATGTTTAAAACATAGGAATTATTTTTTTAGACCAAAATGACAAATTATTTTTCCATTTATTTAAAATTAACAAAAAAAAAATTAACAAAAATTAATTTGACACAGTAATTTAAAAAAAAAATTTAAACAAAAAAATAAAAAAAAAATTTCCAATCAAATATACAATCAAAAGTAATTTTAAAGCATTAGCTGAAATTTTTTTTAACAAAAAATAATATATTTTTTAATATTTTCAATAAAAAAATATTTTCAGAATTTTTTGAATTTTTTAAATATTAAATTTATTTTTTTCAATAATTATTTTTTTGAATTGAATTTTAAAATGAGTTTGGTTATGAGCTTGGAATAGAATTTTCAGTAGAGTTTTGAATTGTGTGTTTGGTTATGAGTTATAAGTTTTTGAATTAAGTTTTAAAAACTTTTTTCAAAACTCATAATCAAACAACTTTTCTTATTTCAAAACTCATTTCAAAAATTCAAAACTCAATTCAAAATTCCATTCAAAACTCTTTTCAAAACTCATAACCAAATAAATGTTTTTTTCTCAAATCATGATTCAACAACTCACAAACTCAAAATGCAACTCTATTCTCAAATTATGATTTTAAAACTAAACCAAACTCTACCTTTGACTTTTTTTTTTATAGTTTGTTGACTTGTTAACTTTTTTAATCACTTTTTGACTTTTCAACTAAAAAGTGATCTTTGACTTTCAGGCTTAATAAATTCAAGGGATAGTTTAAGAATTAAGTAGACAAATTGGCGATAATTCAATATATAAAGTGCAATAAACCCTAATTATATTTATAAACTACGTGTATTCATTTTGTTTGTGTTAACTTTATTAAAAAAAAATTGGTATAATTATGTTAAATTTGTAAAATTTGTTGTATTTTCTTAGTATAATTTATCCTAACAATATTATGAAAAATTAAAAAAAAGCGGTATTCATTCTGCATTGGTATAATTGTTGTTGGGGGAAATTTCGTAGTCCTTAATTAAAGATTAGTATGGAAGTTAAATATAAAAAAAAGAAAAAGAAAAAAAAAATGAATCTATGTTGTTAAACCTAAGACCTTAGATTTCATTAAGAACACTCTTACCATTTAGACAACATAAATATTTTGATATTAATTTCTTTATTATTTGTTTTTATACTTGCTTATCTGAATTACACACACATTGTGTGTGCCACCCATTAGTTTAAATATATATATATATATATATATATTATGCTTTGAAAATGCTTTATCTTCTCAATTACTTTAAAAAAAAAAAAAAAAAACAAAACAAAACAAAAAAATGTATAAATAAACTTTTTCTCATTCACGTTGATTGACATTTCATTTGTTAATATATAATAAGATTTGGGAAAGAGGGAAAATACCAAGCCAAAAGAATAATAAAGAAAATACTTTACATGCTATACTTTTATTTTTATAGTTTAAAGAAAAATAGTAGGGTGCTAAGTGATTGAATTGGTCCAATTTTAGAATATATTATGAATCAAATCGGTTCATATGATTCTAAATAAATTAGAACTGTAACTAAATCATTGAGCTTAATCGAATCATAACTCAACTATAAAAACTAATTTGGCTCAATTCAATCTTACGGTTCTTAAAATATTATATAACAGGACATATGATATATATTTTATTAAAAAAAATAAACTAACAAGCAACATTGCTGAATTAGTTAAGCAATTCAATTCCACAGCCAAGATAGCTAGGTGTTCAAATCTTGCTAGTTGAATATATTGCTATTCAATTCGATTCAGAAATGTAAATAAAATCTTAAAACCACAAAATGGACTGATTTGCAGATGAATTATACATTTAAGAGAATTTATTGACAATATCATTAGGATGACTTTGGATTTGAATTTATGAAGAGAAATGAAAAATAAAAAATAAAAAGGAATAAAACATAAAGGACTAATAAATGAGTTTGGACAATATGTTTTAGCATCATTTTTTGGAGAATCTATGAAATAGTTATCCACATCTTTCTTTTCATAGGTAAAAATATTTATAGTTGTTCAAATCTTTTATATTGAGATTGCATTATTAAATTTATGTATCATATTTGAGTTTTGGGAATTGAAAACCACTATGAAAATGAGTTTTTTTATCAAATTTTTTGTCAATTTTTGTTTACCAATTTTCGATAATATAAAACAGAAAACAAAAATAATAACAAACATGCGTCATCTTAAAATCTATGTTGACATGGCAAGATGAGAATGGTGTAAACCAAGCATGAGACTTGCCAAGGAAAAGCCATATCCATCAATAAAAAAAAAGACCCTTTTGTGGGTGAGAAAAGTGAAAGATGAGTTGAGGAAGAAAGGCATAAAGGGCACTTCCACTACCCCTCCATGAGGGATTCCCATCTCTACATTCCTTGATGCCCCTTGAGGTATAAGGGTCTTAAAGGAGGAGAATTTATGCAGAGCATAAGTAACTATTTAAGATAATGAGCATCTAATGACCAAATCATAATAATAAAATAATAACATGGCACAAAGAAAAGCCCAAATACACTGGTCTGGTAATTTACCCTATGGCTGGATTTTGAGCTTGTATGGGTTAATAAGCAAGAGTAACGATATATGAATAATAATAAGGGGAACTTACTGATAAGTCTCATGTACCAAGTTCAAAACCCAGCTAATCCCAAAACAAAATACTTGCACCAATTAGTCCAATACATTTTTAATTGTTACCAAAAAATCTTTTTTTTTTTAATTTACAGACACTGTTCACATCTTACTACCGTAGGACTTCCGTCAAACGGTCGCCGGAGACTCGTCGGAATGTTCAACATCGCCAGGAAGTCGCCGGAGTATCACCGAGAAGTCGCCGGAGTTTCGCCGAAAGTTTGCCGGAGTGTTAAGAACGTTAATGGAAGTCGCCGAAATGTTCAGAACGTTCACTGGACGTTAAGAACATCACTGGAGACTCACCGGAATGTCTAGAATATTGCAGGAAAAAAAAAAGAATAAATGGATAAATTATAGTAAAAAAAAAATAGCAAAATGTGCTAAATATTGATAAACTAAAAGGAAAAAAAAATGAAACGACAAAAAACAGCAACAATGGGAAAAACATATGTTATTTTTCAATTTTTGTAAGTTTCAAGCAAATAATCTCTAAATAGTTATCAAACTGAAAAGTAAGTTTTGAAACTGTAAAATGTTACAGTTTCAAAACAAAAATCTATTAAGCATTTATCCTTATTAATCAAACTGAAAAACATGTTATGAAACTGTAAAATTTTACAGTTTTATACCATGATTCATTCCAGCACCAAAAAAATTTGAAACTGCAAAATTTTACAGTTTTCACCGCCTGTAACTAAAACTCGAAAACTACTTGTTCAGAATTCGAAAATTTTCTCCATTAGAACAGAAAAATAGAAGTGTATAGCAGAGAAAAAAAAAAAAAGAGATCGAAGGAGAAAGGCGCATGTAAAGAGAGGATTGTATTCCGGCAACTATTTTTTGTTTAGATCTAGCCAAATCTGATGTAGATTTGAGTAGATCTACATCAGATCTAAGTAGATCCACTCATCTTCTTCGTCGGAAATATATCATCTTCGTCGTCGGTGAGAGTGAAGTCACGAGTTGATTTCGATGGTTGACGGTTATCAGTGAACCCCGATCAATGGAGAAAAACATGATCACCGGTCGTCGTCCATGACAAAGACGATGAGAGAAAAATGCAGAAAAAAAAAACGAGAGAGGAAGGGAAGCAAAAAACAGAGAGAGAGAGAGGAAAGGACTTTTGGGTGTACTAAAAAAGTTATGGGATTAAATGGTGTCCACATGTTCCACATGAGACCTGTGGGTAATTTCCCCTAATAATAATAATAAAAAAAAATGATAGAATGTATAAATGATGAGGTGACTTAATGCGGATCTTTCATTTTGAAACAAAATATACATAAGATGACTTATTTATAATAATGACATTATCACAACATTCATATGGTGTTTTCTATATGAATAAAGTTTGAAAACTTTAGCCAAAACCCCTCCATTAGACCCTTATTTGTTGAAAAATGCAATCTAATTTATTTTGCTTCATAAATCCCTTAAGGAAGAGGCGCATAATTGAGTAAGGATATAATAAAATTTCTTTTTTTTTCCTTGGACAATATTACCTATTCATATATATATATATATATATATATATATATATATATATATATATCATAGAACTCTTATGAAGAGAGACACTTTTATTTTATTTTATACAAGTTTAATAATGTTGTGTATGTATATTTTTGGTTGGTTAATCTAGTATGTACTTTGTTTTTTTGTAATAGTTTAATATTACTGTGAATCAGAGTAACATGTTAGTGTGAGACAGAATAACATGTTAGTATCAAACAGAATAATATGTTACTGTTTACGTCAATTTCGATTTTATTTTTTTATTTTTAAAAATTTCATAGTCAACATAAATCTTGTCTAGATCAAAAGTAATATTATTTTAAAGTGTAAAATATTAAATTACTCACTAACTATATTTTGGTAATAGTGATGTGCTATTTTTTAAAGAAATTTTTTTATGTTTATCTTTAATGTATTAAAATTTTATCACGAAGAGACTTTGACCAAATCTCTCATAAAGTTTTTCATTAAAGAAAAAAAGATAAGGGTTCTTTTAAACAAATACTTGAATGATAGCCAATGGTACCAGTCAATAACATAGCATTCAGCACAGATGTAAGACACCCATGCTTGCAGCCAAACTTCAGCTCAAATTCACATATATTCCAAATTTGGGGCAAAAAATGAAAAAGAATTTTGTGCTCTTCATTTCATAAGTGAAATCGGAGGTCTATCAATAAAGAACCCTATTCTTCTCATCCAAATTTGAAAAATTAACAACACTAACCACTCTTTCTCTGTGCCCTCACCATTCTTATCACAACCATATACCAACCTCACTCAATCGCATTGACACATATCACCGGGAAAAAATGAATAAATAGCAACAATACAGTCTTCATTCTATTTTGTTTTTCATTAATAGCACAAACAGGATCTCATTTGGCATTCTTCACTTACAAAAATGGAGCAGGTAAAGCTGAATCAGCAATGGACAACAATGAGTCAAAAGAATCAAAAAAGAAGAAAGCTTTCCTTTGTGGAAGAGCTACATAAATCAGTAGCAATGAATCGTTTTTGCATTACACAACAGTTAATGCATTATTTGCAGTCAATCTTGTGATCAAGCAGGCTTTCCTGACTTCACATCTTCAGCTTGAGGACGTCTGATGTTAAAAACCCCAGCAAGTCCTTGCCCCCTAGCGAGTTGTTCAAGTTCTTGAAGCTTTTTCTTAAGAAGCTCTATCTCTTTCGCTAACTCTTCGTCTTTTTGTCTCATCCCCTAGATAACCATTAACATAAGAATTACACTAAATACATGGTGGAAATCATTCTGAGAGGGGATGGTGGATTCAAATATGCATAACCATTGACATTCTAATGCGGTTGTTTCATTTAATACTTTCAACAAAAACAGAATAAAGACTAATTTTTCTTCTACAATTAAGTCAAGAAAAAATGTTTTTTTTTTTTATTTGCTTATTTATTTTTTGAGAAAAACTCGAAGTTAAACAAAACTTGCAAATACGTTCTCTTCAATCTCTTACATAGAACCAACAACATTTGAAGAACAACATACAACTCAACTTAACAAGGCTTTGTACCAATTACTTACATGGATTCCTTTCTTCCAGTTGAAGAATAAATACACATCTCAGCAATGAGTTTTGACTAGAACTCATTTTCTTACACAAATACAGAAAAAGTAAGTGCATCCATACATGCATTGACAACTCAGAAGAGGGGATGATTTGATGAAAAGCAATTAGGTTGCATAATTTGCATTTGGACTCACGGTTTTGAAATAAAAAGCTATATTACATGGATTCAGGTATGACTGTCGGATGCAGAATGCAGATATGTAGTATTGGATTTTATTAACCCTCATGCTAAGGGACACTAGGATACGGCTAAATTTCATTTCTTAAATACTTCAATCATTTATTTACGATTAGATAGTGTTTACAAACTAACATAAAGCTTTCTATGGGTAATTGAGCTTAGAAGCGGTTGGTCATTGGCCTCTAGGAAGATGGTGGGCACTTCAATGGCCTAGGATCACCGAAGGTGGAGGAGAAGACCAAGGCAAGCTTAGAGGTAGAGAGAGTGGCAGTGAGAGACCTTGAACACTTCTGGGTTTACGTTGTGATGTCTATGTGGTGTCATTCTTCTTCTTGTTATTCTGTTTGTGGCTGCATTTATGCTACCATTATATTGACTCCAGTAGTATTGAAGCCCAAACAACCCATAGACTGGTGGCAAGTTCTCTTCAACTAGACAGGAAGGTGATATCAGCCCTATTAGTTGTGTCTTATGATTCAGGTCATTGGAAAGGTTGCATCATAGCAGCTGCAAGTGCAGCCTAAAGGTATGATATCTCGGGAGGTGTATCATATATACAACAGGTGTGAATGTAAGGTCAACGTCCCCTCTCTAAGCCTAATCAAGGTGCAGCTATCACTGCATAGAGATAGCTACATGACCTCGACGATCCTGAGGTCTTAGCCTCCAATCCACAATCCTCCAATGATCCCAAGCGAGAGTGCCTAAGTCTTGCTCCCAACCTAAGCAGCCAAGTGAGTGAGTACATGGGCGAGGCGAGGGCTAATCCTAAGAAGCCAAGTGAACATAGATGAGCCAAGATCCAACTATGTAGCCATTGAGTTGGAGCGAGTGGGCAAAGAATACATTTTCTTACAAGGCATGAAGGACCATGGAGAGCTCTAGGTGAGCCATGTTGCTGCTTCATGCTTTGACCCATTTTCCTTTGAGCTCTTACTGCTAGCTTTGTGTATGGTGGTGTGCATACCCCCGCTTAGGCTAGGCGTACAACCCCAACTCATCGTGGGGCCTCGGAGGTCTGCCACGTGAATGAGTGATGGTGATGACGTGACGCCCATAGGGCTTGCCACGTGCCAAGCACGATACAAGTACCCACACTTTCTATGCATAGAATGTTTCATGCATATTCTCATAAAAACTCTACTACATAATCATATTTGTTTGGTGCATGTCCAACTTAGACATGTCAAACACATTTTCCATAATAAAGTGTCAGTGTCTACATATGGCTGCTTCACAAATTTAGAAGAGACTGTAAACATAGAATAAAAGGATTAATATTTAATCATTCAAGGAGTATTGAGCATCTCCTGCAGTAAGAGTGAAAAAAAAAAGTATGACCCAGTACACAAGGTGTAGCCAGTAGTTAGGGGAGCGTGAAATGAGTCATTTAAATCTAGAGATAATATCAAACATTAGGTAGGTTCTGGAAGTATTCGACCAGATAGATACTGAATTTTATTTTTATTGACTCTAATCATGATGTTCACACCACTCCTCTCAATCTAATTGTTCTACCTATTGTCCATCACAAACTTCAGCTCTTCTCGACAAAATGCCTCTCTACTTTTGAGAGAGAGCATAAGAGCATAAGAAATACAGAAGTACAATCTTAAAACAAAACAGCCTTGTCAGGCCCAAAAAGAAGAAGAAGAAGATATTGCATAGTTTTTTACAAGGATGAGAAATTATTGTATTCTTTATCTGTTATGTACTAATTATTGTATTTTTACATGAGATTATTATCACACTACACATTACATTGTGCTAATAAATAAGACCCTCCCCAAAAAATTAAAACTCTTCCGAAATTTGTAAGTGCCAGGAATAATGTAGGTTGGCAATTTCATGTCTTGTAATGTAGCTGTGATCTCAACTCCGGAAAAGACTTCAAGAAGTATAAAGGTACACAAGGTCTTTTAGGCTTAAGCACAAGCCCTTAGGAAGGCTAGTCTGTTGTTGATTCAAATGAGGAGAAGATAGCACATAATGAATGAAGAGGAGTTAAACTAGAAGGAAATCTAGTCAACCACTAAACGTCCTAGTTGTCTAGGATGTCTCAGGATTCAAAAATAAAATAAAAAATAAAATAAAAAATAGCATTTGGCAGAGTTTCATTACAGAGTTACACTTATTCTAGATTTTGGAACTTGATGGCTGGCTTGAGACCTATGTTACCTGGAACGTGGATCATTCTGGTACGGGGAATGGGAACGGAAATGTGGTACGCCACATGCTCTAAAATGTGGTACGATTGGGGTATACTTGTATATATTACATTTGAGAATTTAAGATACCTCTAGACATCAAATAATTTTTTATTTTTATTTTTTAATTATGATAAACGAGCACCCATTAGACTAAAAAGGAAGTTCTATACAACGGCTATTAGGCCAACGATGTTGTACGGGACGGAATGTTGGGCAACTAAGAAACAATATATAGAGAAGATGAGTGTTACTGAGATGAGAATACTAAGGTGGATGTGTGGTAAGACTAGAAAAGACAGAATTAAGAATGAATATATTCGAGAATGGGTAGGAGTAGTACAGATAGAAGGTAAGTTGAGAGAAAATAGATTGAGATGGTTTGGTCATATACAATGGAGACCAACATAGGCAGTAGTGAAGAGATGCGATACAGTGACAGTAAATGGTAGCATTAGGCAAAGGAGTAGATCTAAATTGACGTGGACTAGTGTAGTAAATGGAGATATGAATCTCTTTAATTTGATTAATGAAATGGCCTTGGATATAATCGAGTGGAGAAAAAGAATTCATGCAGCTGACCTCATTTGATGGGACTTAAGGCTTTGTTTGATTTAGTTTGGTTATATTTTTGTTTTGTCAAAATTTAACTCACCTTAGATTTTAATTCATTATATTTAATTTTTTTTCCCCCCCTCCTAAGGTAACATTTAAGGAAATATATAGGGAAAAACTTTTGGGATCGCTTAGATCACTAAATTTATCATTTTCGAATGGAAGTGTACCATGTTTTGGAACGTGTGTATCAATATGTAATTCGTTAGGATATTAGCATTTTCTAGTAACATAGCTTGAGACCCAATATCACCCGCAAACATATGAGAACATATCTTCATTGGGAGATTCCGAGAAAGTGCTCAAAGTAGTTAAACATCACTTACTCACAACAACTAAAGCTTCAAGTTTGAGGGATTTAGAGGGAAAATCTTTGGAAGCTTGATGACTTCATCTAGAGGTATAAAGATTCTTATTAAGTATTTAGAGACACTTCAGATATTTGTTCTTGTTTATAGAATTTGAAGTTGTTGAATAAATAGAGATGGTGAAAAGGTTGTGGGTAACCCTTGCAACCCATTGTGAAATGAGGTTTATGGAAAAGTTGAGGGCAAACTTGGAAACCACTTGTGAGGTGTGAGAATATCCCTTAGGGAGTGAGTCCTTGGGGATGGTAGTTGGTGATCTGATCATCCGTGAAGCATGGATATAGATACGGATACGGATACGGATACAGATACAGATACAGATACAAGATATAGATACAATATGATATAGATACGTCGATACGAAAAAACTTTAAAAAGTAGGATAGAGGTACGGTCAAGGTACGTTTGTAAAAAACATAATATCAATTTTTAGTACTCTATTATACATGAGTTCAAAGAAAAGTGAAAAACGACTCTTAGGAATTATGTATTAATTTAAGAGCTATAATAATCTTTTTACTTTTTATTTTTTATTTCTAGCAAGTCACTTAAAAATTTTATTTCAATATCAAGTCTAAACTGGTTGTATTGCCCTCTTGTCACTTTCACACTTAAAAGTTACTGTATGCAAGTTTACTTATTTAATTATTGAAATACAATTTTAGTATTATTTTCTTCTTCTTAATAAGTAAGCAAAGTATTAAAAAACCTATTCATATATTTATCTTAACAATTATACTCTAATGTTATGAAAATTATTAGAATCTAAATTGGATAGTAGCTCAAATACATGACCAAGAGTATCCGAAAAGTATCTTATACTTCTCAAAATTAAAGAAAATTAACTTCAAGTATCAGATACATTTAGGAAGTATTGGATACTTATCTACGAGTATCCCTGGAGAGTATCGATATCCGATATGGGTACGATATGGATTTGACTCCCTTTGTGCAACATCCATTCTAAAGTGAGGTTTATGGAAAAGTTGAGGGCGAACCTTGAAACCACTTTGTGAGAAAATCCCTTAGGAAGTGAGTCTTTTGGATTGGTAGTTGGGGATTGTAGTGGGCAAAACCGACTAGTGGGTTCTAGGTGATCCTCTGTATGAAAAACCTGTAACTTGAGTGTAGTGGGTTTTAGGTGAACCCTTGGAGTGAAAACCTAGAACAAATCCTAGTGTTGGCCTTGAGGACAAGCATTAGGTAGATTGGTGAGTGGGGTGATCAAGGAAACCCTATAGATATTGGAT